AGGGCCTTCAATTTCATTCAAAGTATTACAAGTTATCCACACGGCCACAAGTTTAAAAATTGCTTTTCGGATATTTCGACTTCTCCAGCAACAAATGATGGGGTTTAATGTCGAATTCAACAAAGCCAACGTTTCAGCCCAGCTATAATAATTGTAACTACTCAGATTTCCTTGGACAATTTGATGATAAGTAGTCACCACAAGCACCGGCAGGTTAAAGAAAATATAAATGCCTACGATATAAGCGATATTAACCGCAAGCTTAAGCTGACGTCGGTAACTATTCGCATTGGAGTTCAACTGGACTTCTTGTCGTCGGATTTCATCGTGATGTCGACGAACAATGCCGACGATTTTAAACTGAAGCAGCCCTGAGGTTAACAGGCATACGAACCAGAGAGTCAGGTGAATAGCTCGCACGGTGGTATTGATTCGAGCCCATTGAAGACAGGTCAGTGATGTGTTTAAGATCCATATTAAACCTGCTAGCGTTAGAATACGTCGCCTGGTAACTAGGGCTTTGTAACGAAGGTGCAACGCCAATGCCAGGTACCTCTCGTAGCTTATTGCGTTTAGAGTTAGGAAGGAAACTCCATAGCAGATGAAAAATGACGTCGAGTAGGTCATTCTTACAAAACAGGGAACAAAATTATCACGGTTTTCGCTTAGTCTAAACGAAACGTAACTGGGCTGAACAATAACGCCAACCAGCATGTCGCAAACAGCTAAACATCCAAGGAGTAGGTTTGATGGCTCTCGCAGCCACGCTGTTCGAAATATTATGAAAAGAACCGCGAAATTTCCGATAACAGCGACGGGGCAGAAAAAGCCATTTATAATGCTTGTTATAAAGTTCGTGGTGTAACGGTAGTGAACTTTATCGAAGTCAGGATTCACCAGGAAAAAACACTCATCAGAATAATTCATGTCCATTGTGTGCAATCCGCGTCATGTAAAATTAGATTTTTTCGAACGAATGTTGTTGTTTTTTTTTATCATCCGCACTTAGATTCATCTCCTGTCATCGAATACCCTTGAAGTCTGAGCAAAATGTCGCAATACATCAGAGATATAGAGCTTTTAAGAAGCATCCATCAATATCACTGACTGTTATGTCAGACTGTAATCCGCGAAAGTCGACAGGCATTATTAACATATGCTAGTTCTTTTAATCAACAGCTTAATTGAATGCCGCGGAAATAAGACAAATACACATGTGTTTAGGGACATATTATGAATTTCTGTAGAAATACAATTAAAAGTTACACTCTGCGTCTTCTCAATTGACTGAAATTTATTGTTGTCTTTTCTGTACTCGGATTAAAGCTGGATATATTTGATTTTTTCAATCTCTTGAAATCAAAAAGTTAATGCTAAGTTTATACTGAAAAAAAAAAAAACTAACATGACTCATCATTACTCATCAATTGGTCGTGTTATTTGCATGTATTAATGACGTCGAAAAAAAATCCTCATTACTTACTTGCTGGGTTTTTTTCCTGAGAAATTAGTAGTTCTTCATGTTTGCCGCCAGGTTATCCTAGTTCGTGGAAATAAAAATCTGTTTATCGATATAGCACGCGTCGTGGCGTTGTTATCAGTAACATTCATCTTTTGCTTCTAGCGATTACGTCTTTCGTGTACTTTGTTTTACCACAATTTGTTTATATAACGTACACACATGTATTGGAAATGAAAATTACATTCAATAGCCTTTTCTAATGGAAACAAAACGTACGTCATGTAACGCCAAACGAAAGTTCCAGTAACTGTTTCTCACGTACGCTCTATAAAGCTTATGGGACTGAGGAACCACAACAACTGAAAGTTATTAAACATTGCTTTCACGTGATACTGTTTTATTTTGTTGTCTAATTAAACGAAGATCAATCGTTGACTTTGTGGATAAAACTCCAGGGTGTGATTATTCAAATGAAAGCCACACTATGGAGCAGCACTTTCATGTGATACTGTTTATAATGCTGTACAAGGCTGTCACAACTCAGTTTTTAAGTCTGTGGATAAAACTCTACTGTGCAGCCATCCAAGCGAAAGTTATTGAGCAGTATTGGTACTCTGTATTATCCTCTGCACGACGCTGTTTGCATAATTCTGTGAATCACCGGTGCTAAAATGTCCCCACTAGGTACGTTACGACAACATGTCAAATGTCATCACTCAGTACGACATCATAATTCAGTTGCAGTCCACTTCAGTGCTCAGCAAGAAAAGAGATTTAATCAACTTTAATTAATTCGGGCATTTTTAAAGCAAGGTAAACTGGATGATATCTGAAGCAAATTGTCAAAATAAAAAAAAAACTTATTGGACTACCCGTGACAATGGAAATGTCTGAAAGGGACTGCCCCATGCATGGTCTTTGTTCATTGATCAACTTCAACTTCTCCTTGAAAACTTAACACATTGTCAAGCAGAAAGATGATGAGAATATCACAACCAATCACAAGAAAATGCTATCTTGTGCCAACGAATTAACAAAATGTCCACTGAATATCATTGCTGACAATCTGTAAGGACAATTGATATTTCAAGTTACTGGCGAAAAAGAGTCTCTCCCTCTTTATTTCTTTTTGTCATTCTAGACGCAATCTTTCAAGATTCCTGTCTTGCCAATTTAGTACATTAAGGCTCCTCGCAATTTTTTTTAATAAAGAACACTTATATGATGGTGCAAATTCGACATACTTAGGTCTATTATTTTGGTTTTCAAATGGATCGCAAAATTTCTTCAATTTCTTTCTTTATCTCAATTAAGTTTGTTGAGTTATCCAGATTCTTTTCCTCTCAGATCATTCAGGGCTGTAGCTGACATTCTGTTATTCCCTCTCGTCACAGCGGATGTATTGTCTAGTTCCACCTGTGCCAGGGCTCTACTGATTCAAACAAATCATCCTCGCTACAAGTCTCAACTTTAAATTTGAAAACTGTAAGACGGATTTTACCGTCTGAGTTTAGTGAGATTTATTTCATCCCAAGGACTGTAGCTGACATCCTATCATTGCCTCTCATCAGAACAGATGTTATGCCTCGCTCCTCCTGTTTCAGGAGTCTGTTCAAACAAATCATCTTCGCTGAAACGTTGGAAACTGCGCGGCGAATTCCTCTGTTTAAATTTATTGAGTTTTTCAGATTCATTTCTTGTGATCGAAGGACTGTCGCTGACATTCTGTTATTGCCTCTCATCACAACAGATGTATTGCCTAACTCTACCTGTAGCAGGGTTCTGTTCAAACAAACCATCTTCGCTAAAACGTTGAAAACTGTACGGTAGAATCTACTGTCTAAGTTCATTGAGTTGTCCAGATTTATTTCACGTCAAGGACTGGAGCTGGCACTCTGGTATTATTACCTCTCATCAAAACAGACGTATTGCCTAACTTCACCTGCACCAGGGTTTTGTTCAAACAAATCATCTTTGCTAAAACGTTGAAAACTTCACGGCGGATTCCCCTGTTCCTCCAGCAACAAATGACGGGGTTGATCGACGAATTCACGAAAGCTATAGTCTCTGTCCAACTGAAAACATTGAGGTTGTTGAAATGCCCGCCGGCGAAGTTGTACACCATTACGAACAGCACGGGGATGTTGCAAGTGATGTAGATAACCACGATGTACGAAACACTTACCGCGAGTCTGGTCTGGCGTTGGAAGTTCTTCCTTTTCGACGACATCCGATTGATGCTGTTTATCTGACGTTGATGTCGACGCAGAATCAAAAATATTTTAAGGTGGGTGGCAAAGGTTACCAGGAGACAGAAGAGTAAGAGGGCTGCGTGGCAGTTTCGGAGGAGCTTGCTTTGAGCGATCCATTCCATGAAAGTCATTGCAATATCCATCACCCAGATAATCACAGCAACCATGTAGACGCGCTGCGTTGTCACTAGCTCCTTGTAGCGAAGGTGCAAGCGCAGAGCGATGTACCGTTCAATGCTGATGGTACTCAGCGTCAGGAACGAGACGCCGTAACACACCCAGAAACTCTCCGAGTAGACGATTCTCAACAAGCAAGGTGGTACAAAGTGTGAGATGTTTTCATAGAGACGGAACACAACGTAACAGGGCTGCACCACCATACCCACCAAGAGATCAGAACATGCTAGGCTCGCCATAAGAACATTGGAAGGAGTATGAAGAGCTGTACTCCGTGCTATTACAAAAACAACAAGAAAATTGGTTACAACAGCGAAAGATGAACACACCGCGTTAATAGTGGCTGTTATGAGGTTCGAAGCATGACGGGTCATCAAATTTTCGTCTGCAGGATCCGGTAGGACGAAGCACTCATCCAACGACATTTTCTAGAAGGAAATACGTTACGACGTCTTTTCGAAGACCACACAAGCTACTTGATTCATCAATATGGTTCTTGCTCATTTAGCGTGGGTTTAAGAAAAGCTGCAAATTTTCACTTGAAATGCTGTTTTATTGACTTCTGTACTTGTTATCAGAGAATCTTGAACGCAATTTCCCCCAAATTCATATATGTTTTTATTCGAATGCCAAATTTTAATTAAAATGTCAGCCTCCTAAAGGGCATTAATACAAGACTAATTTACAATAGGAAAGCGCCTTGAGCAACTGAACTTAATCATGTCGAATAAAAACAAATATGCACTGAATGTAATACACTAGTAAGTACTTTCACCTTGCGCAAACAAGTGTTAGCGAAAAGGTTATCAGTTATCGACTGGCAGACTAAAGCTTTTGATCGGTGGAGTCAAATAATGTTTAAAAAAAGATGAATAATTTAGAGTGAAATTTTTCTGTGATTGAAAGCAGTAAATATAGAGTACTATAAAATGATGTATGTGTGCATTAGTGAAATGAACATCAAACACAAAAGATCGAGTTTGACTACATTTCCAAACACCTTAAAGTTCGTCAAAAATACTCCGCTTAGCGTTTTATTTTCAACTCCGTTCTCGATGTTTGGAAATGTGGTCAAAGAGATGTGGTCTTTTTGTTTGATATATTAGTTTTTTACCACATTACCAAACATCGAGGAGAGAGAGTTGAAAATACGACGCCTAGCGGACTATTTTTGACGAACTTCGAATTCGAACTTACTATCCTTAAGGGACTGGAGCTGTTACCGGTGTCTTTCAGCCATTGAAACCCAGTAAGCTAAGACGGGAGGGGGCCCCATGCTTGAACCTCGACTTACCTATTTTACATGTGATTTTAATTCATTATTTGCGACAGAGATTTGCGACACTTTCAGAGTCGTTTAATTTGCGTCGCTTGATAAATATTGGTCAATATGTCATTTTTGGACAAACAATGGTCTAAAAATTAAATTTAAAAGTGATTTTCTTCAAGCCAAAACTCCTGATGAGTCAAAGGTCTCGCCGAAACCTGTGTTTAATTTCCTGTACATGTATATACTAGTACCATTGAGGTGCACTGATACAGATTTAATAACAATTGCCAAGTTGATGTACTCGTTCCACAAAGAATTAGTTCGGTGAGTGATTTGAGAGAACCGATTTTTTTGATGAATTATTTATTTAGTTAACATTGTTCTTTTCGGAGAGGAGCATATGTTTTGTGTCTTTGTTTGAGGCACAGAAACATTATTTTTATATTCTGAGAATCAAACTGCAAAGAAGGAATAAAAATATATATAATTGAAAGATGTTTTTCCAGATGACAGCTTATTACACGTTTTTATACAAAACTGTCAGTAAATTCAATTTAGTTTCTTACTTTCATAGCAGACTCCGACAAAACCTACGCTTTTTTTTTTTTCAAAACAACTATTCATGCGTTGATCTCCAATAAGTTTCTCTTTATTCAGTTTATTTTTGCCTTTCATATGAAAAGGGTTTTGGTCAATGCCACTGCACTAACATTTCAAGATGTCACTTCTTTCTTCTCCCATCATGACTTTAAACAATATGCCACTTTGCTTTGAGGAAACGTAAATGGAAGGTCAGGAAATAACCTACCATGCAATTATCAGTTATTATGTGTATTTACTTTTGTAAAGCATCAAGATACTGTCAAAATAGCTTTTGTCAGTCTTCCTATTTTAAAAAGCCTGTTATAATCTGTGCATGTGCGGCGATTTGATTNGATATTAACCGCAAGCTTAAGCTGACGTCGGTAACTATTCGCATTGGAGTTCAACTGGACTTCTTGTCGTCGGATTTCATCGTGATGTCGACGAACAATGCCGACGATTTTAAACTGAAGCAGCCCTGAGGTTAACAGGCATACGAACCAGAGAGTCAGGTGAATAGCTCGCACGGTGGTATTGATTCGAGCCCATTGAAGACAGGTCAGTGATGTGTTTAAGATCCATATTAAACCTGCTAGCGTTAGAATACGTCGCCTGGTAACTAGGGCTTTGTAACGAAGGTGCAACGCCAATGCCAGGTACCTCTCGTAGCTTATTGCGTTTAGAGTTAGGAAGGAAACTCCATAGCAGATGAAAAATGACGTCGAGTAGGTCATTCTTACAAAACAGGGAACAAAATTATCACGGTTTTCGCTTAGTCTAAACGAAACGTAACTGGGCTGAACAATAACGCCAACCAGCATGTCGCAAACAGCTAAACATCCAAGGAGTAGGTTTGATGGCTCTCGCAGCCACGCTGTTCGAAATATTATGAAAAGAACCGCGAAATTTCCGATAACAGCGACGGGGCAGAAAAAGCCATTTATAATGCTTGTTATAAAGTTCGTGGTGTAACGGTAGTGAACTTTATCGAAGTCAGGATTCACCAGGAAAAAACACTCATCAGAATAATTCATGTCCATTGTGTGCAATCCGCGTCATGTAAAATTAGATTTTTTCGAACGAATGTTGTTGTTTTTTTTTATCATCCGCACTTAGATTCATCTCCTGTCATCGAATACCCTTGAAGTCTGAGCAAAATGTCGCAATACATCAGAGATATAGAGCTTTTAAGAAGCATCCATCAATATCACTGACTGTTATGTCAGACTGTAATCCGCGAAAGTCGACAGGCATTATTAACATATGCTAGTTCTTTTAATCAACAGCTTAATTGAATGCCGCGGAAATAAGACAAATACACATGTGTTTAGGGACATATTATGAATTTCTGTAGAAATACAATTAAAAGTTACACTCTGCGTCTTCCCAATTGACTGAAATTTATTGTTGTCTTTTCTGTACTCGGATTAAAGCTGGATATATTTGATTTTTTCAATCTCTTGAAATCAAAAAGTTAATGCTAAGTTTATACTGAAAAAAAAAAAAACTAACATGACTCATCATTACTCATCAATTGGTCGTGTTATTTGCATGTATTAATGACGTCGAAAAAAAATCCTCATTACTTACTTGCTGGGTTTTTTTCCTGAGAAATTAGTAGTTCTTCATGTTTGCCGCCAGGTTATCCTAGTTCGTGGAAATAAAAATCTGTTTATCGATATAGCACGCGTCGTGGCGTTGTTATCAGTAACATTCATCTTTTGCTTCTAGCGATTACGTCTTTCGTGTACTTTGTTTTACCACAATTTGTTTATATAACGTACACACATGTATTGGAAATGAAAATTACATTCAATAGCCTTTTCTAATGGAAACAAAACGTACGTCATGTAACGCCAAACGAAAGTTCCAGTAACTGTTTCTCACGTACGCTCTATAAAGCTTATGGGACTGAGGAACCACAACAACTGAAAGTTATTAAACATTGCTTTCACGTGATACTGTTTTATTTTGTTGTCTAATTAAACGAAGATCAATCGTTGACTTTGTGGATAAAACTCCAGGGTGTGATTATTCAAATGAAAGCCACACTATGGAGCAGCACTTTCATGTGATACTGTTTATAATGCTGTACAAGGCTGTCACAACTCAGTTTTTAAGTCTGTGGATAAAACTCTACTGTGCAGCCATCCAAGCGAAAGTTATTGAGCAGTATTGGTACTCTGTATTATCCTCTGCACGACGCTGTTTGCATAATTCTGTGAATCACCGGTGCTAAAATGTCCCCACTAGGTACGTTACGACAACATGTCAAATGTCATCACTCAGTACGACATCATAATTCAGTTGCAGTCCACTTCAGTGCTCAGCAAGAAAAGAGATTTAATCAACTTTAATTAATTCGGGCATTTTTAAAGCAAGGTAAACTGGATGATATCTGAAGCAAATTGTCAAAATAAAAAAAAAACTTATTGGACTACCCGTGACAATGGAAATGTCTGAAAGGGACTGCCCCATGCATGGTCTTTGTTCATTGATCAACTTCAACTTCTCCTTGAAAACTTAACACATTGTCAAGCAGAAAGATGATGAGAATATCACAACCAATCACAAGAAAATGCTATCTTGTGCCAACGAATTAACAAAATGTCCACTGAATATCATTGCTGACAATCTGTAAGGACAATTGATATTTCAAGTTACTGGCGAAAAAGAGTCTCTCCCTCTTTATTTCTTTTTGTCATTCTAGACGCAATCTTTCAAGATTCCTGTCTTGCCAATTTAGTACATTAAGGCTCCTCGCAATTTTTTTTAATAAAGAACACTTATATGATGGTGCAAATTCGACATACTTAGGTCTATTATTTTGGTTTTCAAATGGATCGCAAAATTTCTTCAATTTCTTTCTTTATCTCAATTAAGTTTGTTGAGTTATCCAGATTCTTTTCCTCTCAGATCATTCAGGGCTGTAGCTGACATTCTGTTATTCCCTCTCGTCACAGCGGATGTATTGTCTAGTTCCACCTGTGCCAGGGCTCTACTGATTCAAACAAATCATCCTCGCTACAAGTCTCAACTTTAAATTTGAAAACTGTAAGACGGATTTTACCGTCTGAGTTTAGTGAGATTTATTTCATCCCAAGGACTGTAGCTGACATCCTATCATTGCCTCTCATCAGAACAGATGTTATGCCTCGCTCCTCCTGTTTCAGGAGTCTGTTCAAACAAATCATCTTCGCTGAAACGTTGGAAACTGCGCGGCGAATTCCTCTGTTTAAATTTATTGAGTTTTTCAGATTCATTTCTTGTGATCGAAGGACTGTCGCTGACATTCTGTTATTGCCTCTCATCACAACAGATGTATTGCCTAACTCTACCTGTAGCAGGGTTCTGTTCAAACAAACCATCTTCGCTAAAACGTTGAAAACTGTACGGTAGAATCTACTGTCTAAGTTCATTGAGTTGTCCAGATTTATTTCACGTCAAGGACTGGAGCTGGCACTCTGGTATTATTACCTCTCATCAAAACAGACGTATTGCCTAACTTCACCTGCACCAGGGTTTTGTTCAAACAAATCATCTTTGCTAAAACGTTGAAAACTTCACGGCGGA